GTCAGCTGGCCAATCTTCTTGCTAGTGGTGCTTTCCCCATTCCTCGGTCTCCTGAGCCTTCCCCATGTGCTAATCCTTCTTGCTGTGATCCTTCAAACCATGCCGACAATGAAGGTCCTAGTAGTGAAGATGAAGATGATGCAATATGAAACACTCATTGAATGGTGTGTATTACTAAATAAAGTATTGAACTTGTCAATATTTAATTGGGACTAGTTTTGAATGATGATTGTATTGTTAATATTATTTTGTTATTGAACATTTGTATAGTTGTTGTTGTGGTTGGCGTTGTTGTTATTAGCGTTGTTATTGTGGTTATTATTAGCGTTGTTGGTTAATTGTTATTATTGTTAGTTAATTGTTGTTGTTAGTTAATTATTGTTGTTAGTTAATTGTTGTGGTTGTTGATTAATTATGGTTGAATGGCAGCAATGTAATGCTGCCATTATAGGATGGATATTGGTTGTAATTGGCAGGTGGTGTAGCTTAAAAGCAGGCATTTTCTGTCTAGTTTTTACACAGAAAACCGCTCAAAATCGGTCGGAAATATATTTTTTTGCCTAGAAATTCATAAGTTCCGACCGAATTCGATCGGAAATTTCAATAAAAATCTCAAGATTTTTTGAAATTTCCGACCGAATTCGGTCGGAAATTATGAATTTAAATTTATTTATTTATTTAAATAAATTAACAATTTATTACAATTTATAAATAATTATATATTTAAATAAAATTATTATTTATTTAAAATTTCGACCGATTTCGGTCGGTATTTGAAAATTAAATAATTTTTTTTATTATTACCGACCGAGTTGTCGGTAAATGAAGTTTGACAGTCAGTCAACACTTTGAAAATACCGACCGATTTCGGTCACAACACGTTAGCGACCATCATTTTTCTGACTAATTAAAAGCGGTCGGAAAATGTCAATTTTTTACAATTTTCGACCGATTTCGTTTGGTTATCTTGGACGAATTTAAGCAATTTTTTTAGTAGTTTGAGCCAAAAATACACCTACCATTAATTTAGTGGCTCAACTATGCCCTTATTAACTAACGGACTTCTCTGAAAAAATATTTTTAATTAATATCCACGTGTCGTCGTCTCATTCGCCTAAATTTAAATCTTTACCAATTTTTTTTAAAAGAAAAACACCTATTACGGTTTCTTCAGATTCGCCCTAAAAAAGAACATGCCCCATTGCCAACTCCCTCTTTCTTCTCCAATCTCCATGAAATTGAATCAAAGGAGGAGATAATGAATTTCTTTCTCATACCCATTTTATACCCATTTGATTTCATTTAATGAATTACTTCCTAAGTCAAGATCTCGAATTATATTCTCGCACCCATATTATTTCATTCCCAAACTCAACATTTTGTTGCTTAAATTGTTACTTTTCTTGTTGTTGTGGTGGTGCAAATTCTTCCATTTGCAGAATCTAAAAGATGAAGAAGAAGTTGCATTGTCTTTTAAAATAGGGTTTGAATTAATAGGGTTTAAAATCGGGACGGGTCAATCAAAACCTAGGTTATGGTGGTTTTTTCTTTTTAATTTAACAAGAATTTATAGTTAGGCCAATAGCACGGTAACACATGAATATTCATTAAATTTTTCTATTTCTTTTAGATAAGTCCGTTAATAATAAGGACATAATTGTGCCACTAAGATAGAGGTGAGAATATTTTTTGCTCAATAGGTGAAGGTCATTTTGTACCAAGTGGAATAGTTTAGAGACAGTTTTAATCCTTTATCCTTTCATAAAAGCTACCTGCCGTAAATGAAGTAAAAAAGAAAATGAATTCTTGCCTAACAGACCCCGTTGTTAGTTTCTGTGAAAATAGAGAAAGTTGGCTAGATGAAAAAATGTGCAAAAGAAATAACCACGAGATCATAGAGTAACTAAACTAGAAAGAGTTAAAAAGAAGCTATGATCTCTCTCTGTTGCATGCATTACTATTTTCTATTTGATCTGAGAGTGATACCGCCTATATGGAAATTGCAAATATCATGCCCTAGTTAATTACTTTTTATATGTTGACAGGTTACCAACTACCAAGACAAGAAGACTGACATAAGTGATTTATATACCTTAACCTTATGGAAAAAATGTGGCCTTTGGAGGTGGAGGGTATGTTTTATAAAGGCAAAGAAGCGTCATGAAGATAAGGCATTTTCAGTAGAAAAGCCAGATTCTGCATTGTCCTTTCTACTGTGGAATTTAAGGCCATGACTATTACGTGGTTGATAATGGTAAAGCCAAGCTCCACTAGTCTTGTGGACCAAAAGGACTAAAAAAAATTATTCGACTAACCCAACCTAAAATATTTTTAAGGAAATTTTACATCCTATACCAAAAGGATACACCTTATTTATTATAAATCAAAATCATTTTAAAATATTATTTTTTATAGCTACTTTTCTATTTTATTATAGCAAAAATAAGTATTTATGGTATATACTACCATTGAGACATGAAATAAGACATGAAGTACGCTATTTATGTTTTTTTTATCTTAGACAGGAGGTGTTCGTTACTGTATTCATCAATACATGGCGCGAATACATGTGCGTACAACTGAACTGCCTTGATTTTAGGCGTTTTTTGTTGAAGTATTCATGAATACATGGCGCGAATACATGTGAATACATGCGCGTACAGCTGGACTGCCCTGATTGTAGCCGCTTTTTACTGCTGTACTCATGAATATATGGCGCGAATACATGTGAATACATGCGCGTACAGCTGGACTGCCCTGATATTAGGCGCTTTTTACTGTTGTATTCATACAGCAGCGCGAATACATATGAATACATGCGCGTACAGCTGGACTGCCCTGATTTTAGGCGTTTTTTTTGCTGTTGTATTCATGAATACATGGCACGAATACATGTGAATACATGCGCGTACAACGGGACTGCCCTGATTTTTAGGCAAATATAGCGAATACACTACTGTAACAACTGAATAGTAGCTATTGGGAGTAATTATGTATATCGTAACTATAGAAAGTTAATAGCCACTAACCAATAGTGATATCTAAAAATTCCTCAAATTCCTCTATATTTAACCTAGCGTGATACACGATTTGCCCGTAGCAGTAATTAAATTAGGAACCTAAACTATGCAATAGCAGCAAGTTAGGGAGAATCCAGCTTTGCTTGTTACTTTTTTTGCTGTCCCCACCAGACCACACAAAGACACCCATGTGACATGCGCCATTCTCCAACTAAAGTCTTGTTCTGTTATGGGTGCTGACAAGGATCGATCTCATTAATTATTGTCTTACAATTCAATACTAGTACTATTAGTTTGTCAGCTAATTCCAGAAAAACGGCTCAAGTTTTTGCATCCTCCAGCTGGTTTCTTACGCCATAATCACAGTTTAATTTGGGAGTCTTATGATTTGTGTAATTGAGGCTTGTTAATAGATTAAGATAGTAGATGGTGAAGATTTTAGTTGGGTTTTATAAGAGTTGTATGCTACTGACGCTAGTATTTATTGCTCTAGTTGTACAAGGGTAGGGTTATTACTATATCCCCGCTTCCCTCCAAACCCATATGTTTCTTTACTTGTTCAAATAGAGTGGTTGAGCTCACTCACTCCAAATTTATTTGGATCACGATGAACGAGTCAATTTTGAACTAGCAACGAGCCTTAACGTACTCAACTAGTCTAACTCAAATTCAATTTTCTTTTGTTTGTTTGTTTGTCGTTCTTTTAAATTTAATTAGTCTAATAACCAAATGAAACTAACAAAAAAAAAATTCTTTTGTTTATTATGAGTATATATATATCTGACCAACCAAACCCAAGAACTTAGTTTCAATCATTTGTCATTAAGTTTCTCGTTTGCAACCTAACATAGAATGAACAAAAGAAAAAATTAATTACCAAAAGAATAAACCTAATATGGTATGTACAGGATAGTAGCTTTTATTAAACGGTCATGTGCCTAATATTTGTAAGAAAGCTCCTTCGATAATGACAACAAATGTCCATTGACGAAAAACCCCTACCCAACTCTTTCCCCTTCCCTTCAGAATAAAAATTGGGGACTAGAGAAAAGGCCAAAAATATGGGAATGTTGATTCGTCTAAAATTTTCCAGACCATGTGAGGACTCACATGTGAATTAATCCTTAGTACCGTCTTTATTCTATTTTAGAATTAAAAGTTAAAACCATATCCTACACCATCTAATTTGTATGGATCTGACCAGTTTCTAGAATGACAACTACCTCTCTAACCAAATGCCATTACACAAACTTGAAAATCCTTTATTAGATGTTTCAGTATTTAATTAATCAAAGAGATAATGATTAGTGAAGTAGGAAATCAAGATGCTTCGTTTTCGTAACTTCTCAAATAAATGATGCCATTGTACCCCACTCACATCGTGTAATACAAATATGCTTATTCGTTTGGTATGAGAGACGAGGGATAATTATATTGGAGCGAGTTTATCTCACGTTTGGTTGGGATAAAATTAATGTATAACAGTCTCGCATAACTAATTTCGGAATAACTTGTTTCCCAACCAAACGAACCCATATTCTTTGAGTCAGGTGATAAGGAACACTTGAGAAAGTTTGTCTACCTAAGAAATATGAACTTTTGGTTCAACCTACCTTAATGGAAAGATGTAAAACTGAACGAATTTAGGTTATACACAATATCAACATAAAAAAGTTGTTAAATCAAACTGTGCCTATTTGAAATTGCTAAGGTTTTAAAGTATGAAGATGTTAGAGTAGTCTATGGAGCTACAAGGAGAGCAGTCCCATACTTGAGTTCCTAGTCATGTCTGGTTTTATCAACTTGGCATATGATCCAAAAGGGAATAGTAACAAAGCAATACTGTGCAACGGTTAGTACCTAAAGTTTGAATATCTTGGCCACCGACCCTTATCATTTACACTTTGTGAAAACTTATTGCTCATCTCTCCACTAAAGTGCAGAATCACATGTCACAGTAAAAGTTAATTTTACCTTAGCCACATAAATGGTTCCAAAAATCGAATACTTTGCTTTATCTCAAGACAGCCAACGATTACTTATTGTACTACTACTACCAGTACTATCTAGTTTGAGTCCAGAGGCACAATTCCCAAAAAAACAATGGCTTCTTCTTGCTGTTTTCTCCTTTTTCTCTCTTTGTTTCCTCTCCTCTTTCCATTCATATCTTCATCAACCTCCACATCTACCATTCCACTCTCACTTTTTAACACAAACCCATCTCAAGATTTATACGAAAAGCTCACACATTTAGCTTCCATTTCCTTAGCCAGAGCAAATTATATTAAAAAATCCCAAGATTCCGCCATTTCCACAACCCCTTTATACCCTCATAGCTATGGAGGCTACTCTATTACACTTGGCTTTGGTACACCTCCTCAGAAAATTCCTTTCATTATGGACACTGGCAGTAACTTTGTTTGGTTTCCGTGTACAACAAAGTACTTATGTAAAAACTGTCCTGTTTCTTCCTCTAACTCACACTCAATCCCCACATTCATTCCTAAATCATCATCTACTGCTAGAATTGTTGGTTGTTTGAATCCAAAATGTGGTTGGATTCATACCAAGACTAATCCAAAATCACGTTGTCAAGATTGCCAGTCACCCACTGGAGCAAACTGTAAACAAATCTGTCCACCATATATAATTCTTTATGGCTCAGGTTCTACAGGGGGACTTGCTCTTGTTGAAACTCTTGATATATCTAACAAGAAAATACGTAATTTTCTTGTGGGCTGTTCTATGTTTTCTTCTCAACAACCTGCTGGAATTGCTGGTTTAGGCCGTGGACTTACATCATTGCCAAGTCAATTAGGTGTTAAAAAATTCTCTTATTGTCTTATTTCACATAGGTTTGATGACACTGGTAAAAGTAGCAATCTTGTTTTGGATTTCAAAGCTGAAAAGTCTGCAAATTTAAGCTATACCCCACTGCTTAAAAATCCTGTGGTGGCTGGTAAAAAAGCATTATCAGTGTACTATTATGTTGGTCTTAGGAAAATCACAGTTGGAGGGCAGAAAGTGAAGATTCCATACAAGTATTTGACACCTGATTCTAATGGAAATGGTGGGAGTATTGTGGATTCAGGCACAACTTTCACATACATGAATCGTGGCGTTTTCGAGCCCGTGCTTAGTGCATTTGTGAACCAAGTTAAGGGTATTTCAAGAACTGAAAATATTGAGAAATTAACAGGTTTAAGGCCATGTTTCAATATTTCCAGCCACAAAACAGTGTCTTTGCCGGAGCTTAAGTTTCATTTTAAAGGTGGTTCAGAGATGGCACTGCCATTGGCAAATTACTTTTCCTTTGCAGGTGAAAATGATGTGATTTGTTTAACTATGATCACAGATAGTGCTTTAGGCCCGGAGTTGTCAACCGGTCCATCGATAATTCTGGGGAATTTTCAGATGCAGAACTTCTTTGTTGAATTTGATCTCAGAAATGAAAAGTTTGGATTCAGGCATCAAGTATGCAATTGAAAAGAACCTAAGGTGAAAAAGTGCACTATAACTTTTAGCCTTTTTCTTCTTGGTGTAGTCTTGCACTACATAATTGAGGAGGCTAATTACTCAAAGATTTGCCTTTGAGGCCTCTGCTTTAGTGATAGATAATAATAGCACTAATGGAAAAGTAGGTATTTATTGTAAGTTGTCCAATGAATTAGAGGCTTGATAGTGGCTATTTCTGCAAGATTAAAAGAAAGTGAAAATAAATGTAATGTACTTTACTTCTCCTCTGTCTTCTACTTACTTTAGTCTTTAGGTAAGGGGATTGGAGGCAGCAAACCAAAAGGAAATTTCTAACTAGGGATAATTGCACTTTTGATCCCTCCGGTAAACTCTTATTTTGGTACTTTGATATTTCAGTAATTAAGCATATTTAACCTTGAATTGATTAACATGCATGGTTATGTCCCTTTTACATAAATAACACGTAATATTTACGTTATTCTTAGAATTATATACCCGTAAACATCACAGATGAGTAATTAAATGTTTAATACAAGTAGTTACTAATTCGTTAAATTTGTAAAGATTCACAAGTAAAGAATTTAGAAGTGCAACGTTTCACTTAATTCAAGGCTAAATATACTCAACCATATATCACAAGAAATGATATTTCACTTTATGAAGGTTTTTGTTAATCTTATGCAAGGAATACATTTCAGGAGCTTAAAGTTGAATTTATCTTAAGAAGTGGTGTTGGCTGTGATATAATGCAGACATACATAGTTGTACAATGACACAAATTAATGTGGTTGGCATATGATTCTTTGTCCAATAAAATCAGCACTTTATTGTGCTCTTGTTGGATATGATTGTATCATAAAGAATGTAGGCCATGACACTTTTTGCCAGTTGCCAAATACTACCATTTTGGCACTCTGTTAGCTCTTGCTTTCCCATGTGAATTTTCTGGCCAAGTATGGCTTGTGCTTCCCCATTTTTTTTTTTTTTTTAATTTAGGAGGATCTATAGTGTTTTCACACTTCCCCTCCTGCGTAACTCGAACGCAGGACCTAACGGTCGTGGATGGATATGCTTTACCAACTAAGCAAGCCTCACTTGTCAAGAGAAATGTTGTATTTGTAATTTTTTTTTTTCTGACAATGAATCAATGTTTTAATATCCCAAATAAGGGAAATAGTGAGGAAAACAAATAAAAAACCGAGAGTTTTAACAGAAAAAATTTAGACTACTAGACTTAAAAACAGGAAAAATTGACACCGAATGACAACATATAATAGCTACTGGTAAGTTTTTTGTCTTAGATTACAAAGGGTAGCCCAAAAATTTTGGCATTGTATACAGTGACGGATTCAGGATTTTACATAAGCGGGTTCAAGAAAAAAAAATTAGATATTAGTATAAGCGGTGTTGGGTATGACAAGCATATACGGTTTGATCACTTTTTTTCTTAAAAGAATCTCAAAATAAAGTCAATTTAAAGTCGCGCTCTATAGTTGTAACAAAGTTAAAAATATTTTTAAAAATGTACAAAATGTTACTCCCTCCGTTCACTTTTACTTGACACGTTTTGACTCTTCACGCCCCTTAAGAAATAATAAATGAAGTACATAATTTACCATGATTACCATATTAATTGATGCATATGTTATTGGATTTGAGAAAATAATTTGAAATGAGTAATAAATACTGTGGGTATAACAGGAAAAAAAAATTGTCTTCTCTTGATATGCGTAAAGTGACAAGTAAAAATAAAAATCTATTTTTAGTATACATGCCATGTAAAAGTGAACGGAGGGAGTATATGTTTCTATTTTTAGCAATGTATCTATTTAATTTAACAAATTTTACTTCAACAAATTTAGTTTAAAAAAATACTAGCTCTAAGATATTCAGATAAAATCTAGAATTTTTCTTGTTATTATGTTAGAAGTTGTTATTTCTAAACAAAAGAGAATAAAAAAATTTATAAATACTAAAATAATTCCAATAATTTGTGAAAAAGAGTACCAAACCCGAAATCTTAGTATAAAACAAATAGACATTTCAACATAGACTAAAATAAAATTAAACTAACGAATACATAATTTGAATAAATATCATTAAAATTTGAATCAAAATTCATATTGTAGATAGGTTTAATTTTTTAAGCAAAGTAAACTATAGAATAATTATTATTGATTTCAAGCAAAGAAAATAAAGTTAAATAGTAAAATTAAAAAGGAGAGGACATGAGAGTAATAAATTCAGAAGGGATAAAAGTGTCTTTGCCTTACGGTAGTACATAAAAATCCTTCCGCTAAAAAGTATACTGCTCCAAACGCCGAATGGATTCGAACTCAATACCACTCATTTACTTTGAACCCGCTGGACCAACTCACCCTCTCTACCTCTCTTTTTCATCTTCCTCTCCGTCTCTCTCTCCATATTTCTTCTTCTATCTACTCTCTCTCTCTCTCGTAGTTTAAGAAAGATTATTGCAATTCTTCATGCACCAAAACTTGAGCAACAACGCCGATCGAATTTGATCATCAACGACAATTAACTAGTAAACATGGTGAAGATGTGGCCGCAAAGATGGTCACAATGCAACAGAATATTTGAACACCTTGCAAGCACATGTGAATTAGCATGAAGAAATCAAGCACTAAATTGTTTTTTTTTGGGGTAACTAAATATTTTGTTCATCACCAAGTATCTTTACAAAACCAATAGCTAACTAACACAGTTAGCTATTCATGTAGTTGTTCTACTACTGCTTTCTAGAATCTAAATGCATGAACTATTTCTCTAATTTTTGTTGTGGCTCTCACACTACAAACACAAGCAATATCTCTAGCTAATGATTCACTATTTCTAAACACTTTTTCAAATATTTCATGTTTCTTTCTATTCAAATGCTATGAACAAATTCCGTGTATATCATCTTGAAGATCTGTGCCGCTTGAGTTCTCCCTTTTGCTCTACTGATTATCTCCTGTTGATGTTGTTGCCATCCCCTTCCATTCATTGATTTCCCTTGTGCCCATTGATTCACTCTGTGCCATACTTCTTTGGCAAACTCACACTCCAATAAGAGATGTTCATGTGTTTCCTCTAAGCTTTGACACATCACACACTGAGTATTTACTTCAAGTCCCCATTTGGCTAACTTGTCAACAGTGAGTAGCCTACCCTGTAGCTGCAGCCATAATGTAAACTGTGAGAATGCACGGGAGAAAATATATTATTGATTAATCTTGACAATGATATAATGAGCCCTATATATATACAATACATGTCCTACTCCTAATACATATGGGATTAGGGTTATTTACTACTATTTATACAATGAAACTAACACTCCCCCTCAAGCTGGTGCATATAAATCATATGTACCGAGCTTGTTACATATATAACTAATACGAGGACCAGTGAGGGACTTGGTGAAAATATCAGCAAGCTGATCATTCGACTTCACAAATTTTGTAGCAATATCTCCCGAGAGTATCTTTTCTCTAACAAAGTGACAGTCAATCTTGATGTGTTTAGTTCTCTCATGGAACATTGGATTTGACGCAATATGAAGAGCAGCTTGATTATCACACACAAGTCCCATCTGACTAATCTCACCAAATTTCAACTCCTTGAGCAACTGTTTGATCCAAATTAGCTCACATGTGGCCATAGCCATTGCTCGATATTCTGCTTCTGCACTAGACGAGCAACCATATTCTGTTTCTTGCTCTTCCAAGACACCAAATTTCCTCCTGCTAAGACACAATATCCAGATGTAGAACGTCTATCAGAAGGGATCCTGCCCAATCAGCATCTGAGTATCCAACGATCTGCTCATAGCCTCGATCCTCAAACAATAAGCCTTTGCCTGGAGCTGATTTTATATACCGAAGAATGCGGACAACTACATCCCAATGACTATCACAGGGAGAATCCATAAACTAACTCACAACACTCACAGGAAAGGAAATGTCAGGTCTAGTCATTGTGAGATAATTTAATTTACCAACCAACCGCCTATATCTTGCAGGATCGCTAAGAGGCTCCCCCTGTCCTGGCAGAAGTTTAGAATTCGGATCCATCGGAGTGTCAACAGGTCTACAACCTATCATTCCTGTCTCCTCAAGAATATTTAAGGCATACTTCCGTTGTGAGATCACAATACCTGAGCTAGACTGAGCGACCTCAATACCCAGAAAATACTTTAATCTGCCCAGATCCATAGTCTGAAAGTGCTGAAAGAAATGTTGCTTCAACTTATTAATACCATCCTGATCATTGTCGGTAATAACAATATCGTCAACATAAACGACCAGATAAATACAGAGATTTGAAGCAGAATGTCGATAAAATGCAGAGTGATCAACTTCACTACGAGTCATGCCAAACTCCTGAATAACTGTGCTGAACTTACCAAACCAGGCTCGAGGAGACTGCTTTAGACCATAGAGGGACCGACGGAACCGACATACAAGGCCACTAGACTCCCCCTGAGCAACAAAACCAGGTGGTTGCTCCATATAAACCTCATCCTCAAGGTCACCGTGAAGAAAAACATTCTTAATGTCCAACTGATAGAGAGGCCAATGGCGAACAACAGCCATGGATTGAAAAAGGCGGACTGATGCAATTTTAGCCACGGGAGAGAAAGTATCACTGTAATCGAGTCCAAATATCTGAGTATATCCTTTGGCAACAAGACGAGCCTTAAGTCAATCAACCTAGCCATCTGGACCAACTTTGACTGCATACACCCAACGACAACCAACAGTCGATTTACCCGAAGGATGAGGAACAAGCTCCCAAGTACCACTCGTATGTAAAGCAGACATCTCGTCAATCATAGCCTGTCGCCATCCTGGATGAGACAGTGCTTCACCTGTAGACTTAGGGATGGAAACAGAGGACAAAGATGACACAAATGCACAATGGGATGATGAGAGACGATGGTAACTTAAACCGATATAATGAGGATTAGGATTAAGTGTGGACCGTATACCTTTTCGTAGTGCAATCGGTTGATTAAGAGGAGACAAGTCCGCAGTATTAGCAGGGTCAGGTGCAGGACGTGAATCAGCTGGGCCTGATGCTGGGGGCGGACGACGATGATAAGTCAGGAGCGGTGGAGCTGTAGAAGGTTGAACTGGACTAGGTGGTGGCACTGGAGCTATAGTTGGTGGAACTGGACTAGGTGGTGGCACTGGAGCTATAGTTGATGGAACTGGACTAGGTGGTGGCACTGGACTCGGTGGTGACACTGGAGCTATAGGTGGTGGAGTTGTAACTGGAACTATAGGCGGTGGAGCTATGGAGGAAGATGAATGGGAGATTGGCACTGGATCTAACTTATCTTTTCCTGGAGTA